TTAATATGTGAATGCAACTTACTTCTTGAACCTTTATCTCGAGTACGTGCTTTACGCTTATTATCTCTGAAGCAAACAATCCGTTTATTCTTATCTTTATCAGAATTTCACAGTGTAAACACAACTTACGGTTTTGGGCATGCAAAATATGGATCGCTCAACATTGCAAACTGTTCGAGAGTTAGTCGAGGAACCGCTGGCGCTGGCGGTGGGATTGGTGGTGCCGGTGGCGGAGGCACGTGGACCGGTGGTGGCGGTGGGCGAGGGGGCTGCGGCAGAGGTGGAGGGAATTGTGGTCCTGGTTGAGGGGGTGGTGGTAGTGAAAAAGGTTGTGGCACTGCAGGTGATGGAGAAAACTGTGGTCCTGGTCGAGGAAGTGGAGGAAGGTGTGGTCCTGGTCGAGGAGGTGGAGGTAATGGTAGATAAGGTGGTGGAGGAAACTGTGGTCCTGGAGAAGGTAGGGGACGAGGTGGTGGCGGTAGAGGTGGTGGAGGGAACTGTGGTGCTGGTCGAGGGGGTGGAGGTAGGGGTGGAAAAGCTGGAACCCTATTCATGGCTGGCTGTGGTGGTCGAAGTGCTGGCGGATGAGCGATTAGCCAAGGTGGTGGTGCAGGCCTAGGTAAGGCAGGCGGTCGGGGCGCCTGTGGTGGCTGTGGAAACTGTGGTCCTAGTCGAGGAGGTGGGGGTAATAGTAGATGAGGTGGTGGAGGAAACTGTGGTCCTGGGGGAGGAGGGGGAGGAGGTGGAGGAGGAGGAGGAGGCGGCGGCGGTGGTGGAAAGCCACCTCCATCCGGTGTTAAAGGTTCATATTCAGCCATGTTCGTGAAGTGTACGACAAGTAGGTTAGCTCTGAAAAACCATTTTCAGTCAGTGAACAGGTGAACAGTTCCCAAGAAACAGCTGAGCAAGTTCACAACTTACCAAGTGACAGCTCAACAGCGATACTGCTTGCCACCCTTCGTGTTAACAACTGTTGAGAATGAACTTGTCCAAAGAAAATCTCCACTGCATGGTAATCCCATGATAAAGGCACTTATCACTACAATGCAGACACTCTTGTACAGCCGATTTTGGTGGTGGCTCTTCCCAAAATTGTTGGTCTAACTTTAGCTGCTTTTTTTCACTCTCTCTTACTCTGCCGATGCGAAACCTACGAAGGGTTCGGCATACATTATAGTTCTTTCGTGACTAATCCATTTTCATAGTTTTGTGCACACCGCCCAGCTAGCGGAGACCCGTGAAGCCGCTCCCTTTCTATGCTAATCTGTGCTACCCCACCGATAGGCGATCAGTGTGTCCAATCACTACCTGTAGACTTCATTAATGTCTTTTAAGCTTTTTGGCGAGTAACAAGTCCATTTCGGAGATTTTTTTGGCGTTGAGCAAAATTGGGATGCTCCTACACACTCGACTACCGATCGGAATGGTATGGGCTTTTGAAGCCTATGTGCCCTACACGTGGCTTGCGGTGTTCAGCCGATGTGCAAGCCTTTGTCTTTATTCTCCCAAACGAGTACTTCACCAAATAACCTACCCTAGAAGGATGGAAAGCTTTGTGGATTTGGGCAAGTACCGGATTGATATCGATCCGGTATCATAGCAATGGTAGCGCCCATTTTGGCGCTACTATCCTTTATCATCGGGTGGTATACTTANACTTATACTTAATCATTTTGTAGTTACCCCTATACCGAATAGGGTTCAGACAAGTTGCCTTTTAAGCTAGTAAAGTTATCCTGAATAAAGTAGATATGTAATACATTGAAAATTTCATTCGTTCCCCTGACAGGGTCTGCCAGAAGATCATTAACAGGGTCTGCCCGAAACTTCTTTGAGTATTTTTTACGTATTTTTTGCGCCTGTTGTTAGGTAGAGAATGAATCTATTATGGAACTGGTGTTTTGGGAAATCTTTTCACTTTCATTTTTTTCCCAAGAGATTTGCCCACCCAGAGAAGTACCCTAGTTCATTTCCAACTGGATCGCGACTTCTTAACGAAGCCTCTATTGTTCCATTTTTTCACTGGACAACATGACAAGTTCAATCAACAGCTGTCGCTCATCCGATCGCCAACAACAACTTGCTGCCTTTCACGCTTGTCCCTTCAAGAATATTCATCCATATGGTTGGTTAGCAGTGAATAAAGAAACAGATCAATTAATCAAAGCAATGAAATGGTATGGATGGCATGTCATTCTCCGCAAGTCAAGTCATCTGGAGTCTTACACTCTGCATTAAAAACCTTATCGAGCCTATGTGAGAAAAGAAATTGTTTGCTTGGAGGGATACGGAATCGCGCGAGACCCTCTACGATGAAACCTTGCGAAAAAAATTACTCTACACTTTGCGCGGCGATATCGCGCGACAAAACCGCGGAGTAAAAACGCGTGGGTCAATTGGAGACACTGTATCGTAGAGGATGCGATGTTTCCAATTCACATATACGGAGATATGACCCATCATACCACTCCGAAGAACCGAAGAAGAAAACTCGTTTAGCACGAGTTTCAATCCTTAGAGGCCCTTAAAGATATACGTACATATGTGGGAAGAGCCATGATCCGCCTTCACAATGCACGTGGCTTTTCTTGGCTAGTTGTCTCGTCGAGTGCCTTACCGTTGAGGACTTCTAGCCGCCACCCTGGAAACAGGCCATTCCTTGTTATAATGTTACGAGTTCTTATTCTTATGCTTCCTGGTTTTCTTCAGCTATTTTCTCTTGATGGGCTTAAATTTTTACGTCTTGAGTTCGGATCCACGCCAACATAACATCTATTTGCCATCCTATCCCAGAGAAACGTAAATATCAAAAAGGTCACCTGTCGGAAATGATCATTTATTGTCACCTAGCATTCGAAACCGGTACCAAAAGGCTGCGCCTTACTGAATCGATGATAGAGGTCAGTGTTTCAATTACAAGGCGTTCTCCAAATGCCCGTATGATATCATATTCACTAATGACTACGGTATTATACTGCAGTACCCTTACACCAGAAGACAAGAACAGGAACTGTTCTTCCTACCATTATTTATCTTGAGATGATGGTGCAGTGGCAAGTGGCGCACTATCATACAAACGTGGTCACAGGTTCCAAACCCGGCTCAATATCCGCCTAGATTAACCGGGCCATTAATCTTTCCTGGGTCGAATAATTGCTACCAGACTCGTCTGGAAGGATGAAAGCACTGACTCGTACATCGGCTTAGTACCGCATGTCATTGTATAGGCCACATACGCATTCAAAAGGCACTACGATTCCGAATGGAAGTCGTATGCGAAGGCGTATTTTTGAGATGGGATTGTTTAACGCCCTAAGACTTCATCCCTAACCTTTATTTAGGTAGAAGAGCTGGAAGATGGTCTTTTCTGATTCAAGATGCACCATATGTTAGGCTAGCCCGGGAGCATTTACAAAGCTATTTGGTCTACGCCTCGAAAGACTATCAAAAAGGTCACCTGCCGCAAACGATTCTTTTTTAACTGATATGGAAATTTCATAAAGACTGCACTATTTTTTACTTGATTGTTATCATGATTGGTTCATGTGAAGCACAGAAACAGTTACTACAACATCAATTAGTACCCGTAGTTGATTGCAAGTACGAGTGGCATTTGAATTCTTCTGAAAATCTTCTAACCAGAGTCAAATATACGAAGTATCTAAAGAGGATGGATGAAGAGAACATTTCACCTTTTGTCCCGGTTCAGATTCATTCGAATTTTGTGCTTCACTGGAAGGAGACAGGGTGGAATCGCTACACCCTAGAAAGCCAGTAACCAGTTGATGTACAAACCAGTGCTACTAACATCCCAGACCGGCCCCGGGCCATAGAAAATCTAGTTGAGTTGGGGGCGTATCGAATCAGGATGACGAGCCATCCTGATGTTCCAATCCCGGATCCGACATCCGTCTAGGCTAACCTAGCGTTCCGTCCCTCTGGGGTCTGTTTATTGGTATCCGATTTGTCCAACAAGATAAAAGCACTGACTTCTGCATCGGCTAGCCCCACGCAAGTCATTGTATATGCCACACACGCACACTTCAATACGCCATTACGTTCTGACCGGATGTCGAATGCGGGGGCCCATCCCTCAGACGGGATTGATTAACGCTCGAAGACTTTATCTTTCGGAATGAGAAAAAGCAACTTCTCATCATAATACACGTCATGGCAAATAAGCCTCACGTCTTCGACTTTTTTGTCTACCTTAGCTCGGGAGCTATTTCCGTTCAAGTGATTAAAGACCATTGCATGTTGCAGATAATCTTCCTTGGAATAAATTGCAAAGTGAAGAAATGATGAACACCCTCATTCTTTTCTGTTCCTCATTAAATGGTGTGAGCAATTTCACGGGCCCTTAGCCTTCGATAGCTAATATCGCTTTTCAATTCTCTCGACTATCACAGGGGAATTCAAAAACGTCTCATTTTCCAGTCTCTATACGTAAATGAGCTTCATTACGGCAGCATGTGGCTTTCGAAGAAAACATCAAAATGAAAAGAAGTTCGAATAATAAGCTTCATTGAATATGCAACACGTAACATACGTAGGCATGAATGAAACCGTAAATTACAAAGAGAATATTCATGTGTATCCAAAGAGAATCATAAAAAACAACGTTAGAAAAGTATTATGAGAATTCCGAAAAGAAAACAAATTAGTTAGAAACTTCAGAAAAAAGAGCATTGTATAGTACAACTACAAACTAACTCGAAAATTTTACGCCGAGCTATTCAAAAATTTTAAAAGAAATCGAAATTTCAACCGAGACGAGCATTGCAAATCAGGTCGATAAATTATGCGCCTACTATGAAAATAAATATAAACTTGATGCAAATTGTTTGTAAATACAAATCAATAAATTAAAAACTATGAAACGAATTATCGAAGCGCTTATTAGCACATTGTGGATTTATGACAAAAATGCAAGCAATAACTCCAAAAAAAGAAAAACTCAAGACATAAGGCAAATAACGAGATGTTCAAGTGAAAACTGAAACATAAAAACTGATATGGAAATTTCATAAACTGCAAGCGATTGTCAAACTACACTTAAATAAATAGAAGGCAATTCAAGCTGAAGTAAAACCGATGAGCTAATTTGAAATGTGAAGCGGCACCTGCGAAATTTCAGTCTAAAATCTAGCCAACTATGAAATTCAAAAGAAGGTTCCGGAAGCTGAAAAACTTCTAATTGGATCTTAAATATCCACTTATAAACGAGGACCCATGAGAGAAGAACTTTAGCTCAAAATAGGAAAAGTGTAGGTGCTGCTGCACTTATGGACTCTGGGCAACGAGGGTGATTAGCGGCAGAGCGGAGTCGCAAAAAACGCTTCCATTTTGGAGAAATAAATGTAAAATTCAACCGTCAAGGTCCTTAATAATAATATTCATTTCGAACTATGTCTTGAGACAAGCTCTCTAGGCAACATATTTCCAAAGTGCAAGCCAACTCTCCCTTGAATTGAAGTCTTTTGGCATGACAAGCCTCAACGATGTCAGTTATAGCCCTTCCCCATGGGACTTAATTGAACAATCGAACCCAACACTCGGCCAATACAAAAAAAAATTATTAGAACTTGCCCTATGGTTATAAAAATAGCCAAAAATTAGAGAAGAATGAGGAGATTTTGAAGAATTTGAAAAATATCTCCATACCAATCTATCAAGCATGCAAATTAGAACCATTGCAAAGGAGAGTCACGCAATTTCAAAGCAATATCAAGCTTTACAGTGCAGTGGTCCCAGCAAGTGGTAATTCGTGACAGCTTTGAAAGAATGTACCAAAAACAATTTGATGCTCAAAAATACAGCGATTTGAGCGTATCCAATCCGCTAACCTTCGTTTTCAGACCGAGGAGTTTCAGAATAAACCGCATTGGCGTAAATTCTCACGAATAATGATATCCGTGACTGCGTCGAACACAAATCGAATGTTGTTAGTATCCGTAGCGCACGTGAAATGTGTGTAGATTTCTTTTTGACCGTCCCTTCGCTTATTCATATTTTCAAATTGCATCTGCATATAGGCAGCTGCTTCTTCATATGTGTTCGACCCTAAATATGATGGGGTTATCCAGCAGTCTCAACATAATTATGATAACAGAAACCAAGTACACGGCCACTTAAAGTCGAAGAAAAAACAAAATTAGCTTCGTAACATAAGTAGAGAGTAGGTAAATACTTATGAGGTGAGTAATGATTAAGTAAGATAGCCCATTAATCCTACCATCATAGGGGAGTGACTATAATGCTCGAGAACAGTTTATCTCGTTGCCATCTCTACTTTTTTTTCTTCGTGCCCGTTGTAGAACTCACGTCTCCTGAGTTCCTCTCTACTCCTTGGAGCGCTAGAAAAGTTCTTCTACGAGAAATTATTGCTTGCTCTGCAAGAAACATCAACATATATCTTTCTCCAATGATACCAAGCAACCACTAATTTCTCGCAGAAGAGCACTCCTAGCGCCTCATTGAGCTTCAGAGAACTCCCAAGAATACTAGAGCTCAAAAAAAAAAAAGGCACGAAGAAGACAAGGAGTAATGTTTGGAACGAGATTGACATTTCTGAAGCATCACAGTTTTCTTCCTATGATCACATATGAGGTATCAACTGGCTACTACTCCACTTCCGCTTGGAACTTGTTTTTTTGCAAAACTCAAAAATGATCGAATCAGCTGATGATCAAGTTCATTCGGAGTGGCACTTAAAAACTAGTGGGGATCTGTTCAAGTAGATCCCTTCTAGAATAATCTGTCAAAAATTTGAAAGCACTTGACGGAAACGCACTAGTGTTAACAGTCTCTCAAGAGATTCAAAAATTGCCCACAAAACCATTGATAAGATAAGCACTAAGCCGTTTCATGTTGAAAGAGTGACTTATCGAAAGGAATATCAATTCTCATAATTATTATGAAAAAAGCAGAAATAGTGAAACCACATAAAGTTTTTCAGCGTGTTCATAACACGTTCTAATTGTAGTAATATGATATAATAGAAGAAATAACAAAAAAAGTTCAATGGTGTACTGACCAGTATACTCAGGGAAACAGCGCGTTAATGGAGATCGCTTGATTTTCTCCTCGAAAAGATCTTTCTTATTCAAGAAAAGAATTATGGAAGTTTCCGTAAACCATTTGTTATTGCAGATTGAGTCGAATAGCTTCATGGATTCTATCATACGATTCTGAAAACAAATTCATCGTAAGGAATAGAAATACCACACAAGGGACTCCTAATAATCAGGGTCAAGCAAATATCAAGGGATTTTTGTAGAAAGAGGACAGAATCGCGTCCGTCCCGCGGAAAAGGAAGGGATCCTCATTTGTCTCATTGAGAAGCAGTCCCTCAAATTTGATTGGGATAATATTTCCGAACTCTTTCTGCCTCCGTGGAATTAGAAAATGCTGAAGACCTGTTGGTATCGTATGGAAAACCAGTTTTCGGTGGAAATGAGGGGTACACCCAGGAGCGATCTACCTTTTCACCACGCTTGACCCTCCTCATGATGGAAAAGTTTGAACTGATAGCTAACCATTTCGTCATCCTCAGCCAATACCATATCATATTCACTCATTGCGACGCAGAAAATGATGGCAGTAACGCCTTCAAAACAATGAATCCATTTTTTCCTTTCGCTACGCTGCCCACCAACATCAAACATTCTGGAAATCATAGAGCGTAATATCGTGAATAGGGTTTACATATAAAATTCCACATATATAATTATATGTCTGTGCATGACAGCTTCGGATTATAAAGAAGGAAATGTAGGATGATTGGTGTTCTTACTTGAAATGCAAATCCTTATACGTAAAGTGTGTTTCCACGATGCCAGTTGTTTTGACTCGAGTGCGTAATACATCGTCCTTTAAATTAGAAGTGCTTCGTTCATATAGCGCAATGGAATTAATTTGAAAAAAAACCTGCGTAGGAATATAGTTTGGTTGGGCAATACGTTCCAATGAATTGAGATAATATGGAGCAGAATCGTTCAGCTGATATTCACGAGATCTTAATAGCAGAAAATTAGAGAGGAGACGGAGCCCATCGAAAGAGTTCATAACAACTACTAATAAAAGTATCTAAAAATCAGAAAAAAAACTAGAACAAGTGGAATTAAATCGAAACAATGTTGACAATCATACAAAATGGTTGAAGATGATACTTCTGACATAAATCGTAATTGCTATAATGAAGAAAATGATGGGAATTATTTTCCTTTTGTTTCCCTCCCCAAAAGTACTTCCAAAANGCCCACAACCGTTTCATAACACTCGCTAGATCGGGTGGAAGTTCACCCTAAACAATTATCATGGCATTACAATGTTGGAGGCAAAGACGAGAGCTATTCAAACCAATCAAATCTGTATCCAGAGACATCCAGGAATAAAATTTGAACACCACAATGTTAAATAAAATTCTAATATTAGATACTTCCATAAGTAAACCGAATAACGAAAACTAAGAGCGTTTCCTTTTTTTGGGAAGTATGTGACATCCAGCTAACTAAATCTAGCGCGCATATGCTTCGCTAAACGATTTTACCCTTGGGAGCAACATTGTAAGTCTCTCTAACACCCACTTCCCCCAGAACAGCCGTAAAGTTCTTAAAAATTCAAACAGCTAACGAGTCCCAGCAGAGAACTAGGTTTAACAGCCAAAGTATCCATTTATCGTAGTTTTGAAACAACCCTTCAAGGACATTAAAATTTGAAATAATACCTCGTCACAAGTTTGGCTAATATTGAAGAATTGCTGTGCATCATCAATACGACTTGGTGATTTGAAGTCGATTCTCAAAGTACCCATTGCACGAAGAAGAGCCACCATTGACTGCAACAGAATATGCATGCATAACATTAATAACTTCCTTTAGTCTCTAAACCAATGAGCTGAGAATATCTCTCAAATCTCATCGAAAGCACAGACCTCCTACAAGGATAAACATCAATAATCTAAGTTTTCGGATGTATTTCTGAACTCATTTAAACTTTTTACCACAACTCCTTTGAAAATCTAATAGCGCAAAGTCACAAAGTCATTAATATTGATTGCGCCGTACAAGGAGAAGTAAAAAGGTCATCTGCAAAAACCTGCCTTCTTTCAAAGAGGATAAACTCTGATGGTGAAGATACTTTTACAAAAACAAATAATTACTGATCAATAACATTCGTAATGGCAAAATCGCTGTTTTTAACATTAGGATATCGGAAAAAAANAAAAAAAGTCCTCGAAATCAACGACTGCTAGCCAACATTTTATATATGTATAAATTCAAAGTTTCTTATTGAAATGGTTTTTACATCAAAAGATAGTGCACGAGGCAGTTATGCGGAAGAAATATAGAACGCTTCAGGAGCCTAGTTAAACCATTCGTTATGACAGTCGCCTTTCGCTTCAACTGCTTATATTACATAAAAAATGAGCTTTATCGAAAACATTCCTTTCGAAGCGTTTAGTTTTCCACGTGTATGCCACTGCCACCCTCATTTTATGCTGCATAGAAATGGGATTTTCGGACTTATTTTCAACAATGCTGGTCTAGTCAAAAAGGCACTCGTCTCAACCAAATCTCCAGGGATGCGTCCGTCCCCACTTCACCGTCCAAAAACCACTACCCCTCAAAAAAATTGCAATCTTATGGAATGAATTAGAACTCTAATGTTCCTGAATGCACTGAGCAAAGGTCACATATGTAAACAACTCGACATAAAATAAAAATAGCCTCCATTGAACGTGGGAACCACACGAAATGAGTTTCCCCTCCATCTTGACACACACCACCATATCGGAATCCCTTTTACGGAACTTTTGATGTGTGGAACACCTCGACAGAGCCTCAACAGGGGTATGAGCAATTTGTCAGCGATTAATTGGGACTGAAAAAAAGGAAATATTATTCTTGATACAGGAAGTCTAGCCAATTTCTTTTCGTGGAAATATAATAAACGGAATTGTTGCAGAAAAAGTGTAAACGGAGATGAGAAGCACTACTCAATTTCCGTTGAACGAAATAGCAACGGATTATTGCCGTAGAGAATGCAATAATGGATAGTCTGAAAGCAATTACGCGAAACGCATTTTGAACATTCCGAAACAAACATACTTTACAATAGAATATGCATAAAAACTTATAAGCCTTCTAAGATAGGAGCATTCGCAATTTTTTATGAACCAATGTGGGCAAATAAATATTATATGAATTACCCCATCTTATATTTATGAAAGCATAAGAAGAAATACGGCTAAGGTCCCTGCTCCGTCAGAAAATAATTTATTGGACAGCAAAAAAGCGATTACCGTAATGATAAAGTGCTCCCGAAAAATTCAGGAATGAAGGATTTTTATTGAACTGGATTTTCGAGAAAATGAAAGAACCTGAAAACTGATTTTCAAGGTACTTTTGAAAAGATTTCTTTTACCTACCGAAGAGTTGAAGAAATAGGATTACATCAGGATACAATCATCTGTACCTTTCAATACATACATAGAATCATCAACATGAAGGCAATAATTCAGCTCTTGCAGTCTTCTACGCATGCAGTGGTAAAAAAAACTCCCTAAGCCATCTGCGATTGTTATCGGACGGGTTTTTCGATTTTTATTCATCTGACGTCTATGATCTGCTGCATGTCTTGCAAGTATTATTTAAAAATCAAGGCAAATGAAGATCCGAATTTCTACTTCGAAATTCAATCAGATCTCTCCCAGGCACTCTAACCTAATGTTTAAAAAAATCAAAGGGAGCAAGCGAAATAAGCAATAACACAAACAGCAATACATAGAAATAATGAAAGTTTGTGTGTTACCTGTATAGTGTTACTGAAAACAACCGGCCGATATTGTTTCCGTTCTTCATCACTATAGCCGGTCTCATGGATGATTTTCATCTGCTTCACAATCGTACTTTTTCCAGATTCACCGGCTCCTAACAGCAATAATTTGACTTCACGTGCCGCACGTTCACCATCAGCTTTCAACTGCAAGAAAAACTTGTAAATTTCTGGTTGCTACAAACCGGTTCCGCCACCTAATGCAAACAGAAGTGAAACAAAAGCTGTCGAAGTAGAAAAACATCCAAGAATTGTATTTGCCGAATACAAAAACTCTTCATCTTCTAATCAACTGACTGGGCTTCATTTTCCCTCATAACATAGTTTTAATGGGATCAATAAAGTAGAAAATACTTCGACGTTATCTTGCAAACTAGTTTTCAAATCAGATAAGAATAGTCAAAATGTACCAACAACCTCTGAAACATTTAATAAATTTCATAAGGGTTGCTGAACTGAATTCGCTTCTTTGGTCGGAAAAAGTCAGAACATCGCGATTCACATGTCTTATGGCTAGTATATAAGAAATAGTACTATCGATTAACACCATGAGCTAGGAAAGTGCAGAAGCTTGGTCGAGGGAAAAATTTTGGAACTCGCCGAAATAGGCAAACAGACGAAGAAGCTCTATCGCAAGCGAAAACAAAAGTAATATTATAGAAAAAAAAGTATAGGGAAAAAAGCAGGCATCCTAAAACCACAGCACGACTCGAAAGTTTGCATATTCTGGGGTTTTTCCGCATATAACATATATTAGGTTGGCGACTAGGGGAATGCGAATAGCTCAGGAAAAAAATATCTTTTTTTTCCACAGAAAATGCTAATTTTTGCTATATTGGCCATAAAATGCTCAGATACGTAGTCTATAAATACAAATCACTTGAAGAAATAGGTAACCACTTTTCAGGTAAAACTTCGAAGCACTTAGAAAAATACGCAAAGACTGATTTATTAATGTAACGAAGCTAAAGAGCTGAAGAATGAAAGAAAATCGATCAATCATACGTTTTGAAAACTACAGTGAAAAAGAGTTTGATATAGAAATTACGTATTAAAGAAAATAATTAGCAACCTGTTCATCGATATGCTTCGAACGAAGCTTAGCATGTTGATCTGTACTATTCACACAGCCCATTCTGAAGTCTAGCAACCAAAGAACGGCGTACTGCTTCCTCTAAAAGCAATTTTTCAGGCGGAAAGGATGAGAATTGTATTGAACGACACCAAAAACAAAAGCTTTTCATCAGAATAGAAGCAAAAACGCAATAAACAAGCGTTTTGCAACAACACCAACCAATCTACTAATAGGAAATCGGCCTTTAAATACTCCCACGAAATGGAGCATGCAGAAGAAATCGATTTAGATAGTTAATAACAGCAAGTAGAAGGGTTTCTCGTTACGAAAAACAAACGTGGCCATCTCATTAGTGAAAGCACTCAGAAGCTAATCGGAAAGAAGTGCATCCAGAAAAACAGAAACTGAGCTCTGAAAGCTCCCTAATTTCACAGATTTCAATGTTAATTTCAAAAAGTAGATCCGGATTTTGGGCATAACGTTTAGAAATCAAAACCGTACACAACATTGTAACATCAGAAGAATCAAAGCGATATGAATTGGAAACTTCCATCACTTTTTAAGAGCAAGAATGAATTGTTGCAATTAAGTTGCAATAACTAAATTAAAAACTTTTCAAGGCAAAAGCAACTATAAAGGTGAATTCCGAACTTTTACATGACACTATTACTATTAATTAATGTAAAGTTGTTTTAAACTAATGAAACAGACATAAATTAAGCGAACGAAGCGCCAGTCCACCGAAATAGAAGCCGACCGACAGGAAAACGGCGGCAGCGGCGGAGGCGGAGCGAGTATCTCGTCCGCGCGACGCCGCGCGATATCGCGCCAGCGCCCAGGGTCGTCAGAGCCAATGGTAGTAGTGACTATAGCAGAAAGTTTTCAATGATTCACAGCCTTAGGTTTATTGAAAGGGCGAAGTTTTACTGGTGCTGCTCGAGCCCCCTGACATGCGCCATGCGTTCTATTCCTCCTTAGAGTTCTGAACAAGTTTGATTTTGCATTCGGCTTACACAAAGGCGTTGTCATTGCCAAGCAGTGTGTGGAACGACTTAAGGCGTTCACTTCGGTCTAGCATCGGGCGGAACACCTATGAACAACCCTCTGGAGTAGGTAGAGGGGGAAGATTGAGTAGATTGTGAAGGCGTGGCAGGATAGCTACTACCTCCCATAACTGATTGCTCAAGTGAATGAGGAAGTTGGGGTGGGGTGAGAGTTAGGAGAATTGGGCAAGGAGAAGGGAAGGCACCGGAATTACAAGCCGACTGCTCAGGATTATATGAGGTTTGGACTAGGTTTGCCTGACGTCCACGGTCAAATCCTCCTCTGCCCATCTCTCGAGGTCGACTATGAACGAGCACTTTGCATTTATTCAAAAAATTGATAAGATTGATGATTCTCAGTGCTTCGATGGTTACAGATCTCGACATACCGAATAGAAGCCCTTTTTGTTATCACTGTTCCCTCTGTCGGAATTTATTGGATAGATTCTGGGCATCAGCTCTTGTTCTGAACACGAAGCACTTCTACCAGTGGACGAGTTTAACATTTTTACGTAGTCCAAAATAGCGCGAATTGGACTCTGTAATTCTTGGAAGGCATAGGTCGAATACATATAAAAATGACTCTGTGATATGGATGCATGGCGCAACCGGAAAAAGTCTATCTACCCGAAACATTTGAATTTTCAATTTTTCAACCACAAAATTATTATTAAGAAAGATGAGTGTAATCTGTCATTCCTGGGCAAACTGGATGATTTATTATCTCTCAGAAACGAATGTACATTTCGTAAACGACTAAAAAATCCAAACGAGTCTCAGAAAGTCTCACTGAACACAAAACTGGAAAGATGAAGTGTAAGGGGGATAAGAACATATGAAATATTAATTAGAAATGACAAATGATGAAATGAAAATTGAAAGAAATGATAGAAAAAGAAAAATTGTAGAAGTTGAAACTGTGGAAAGTTCAATTCATAGGCGAATCCCCGGGTTCTGGATTTATAGAGGGATTCTTGACTTTATGGGCTGGAAGGGGAGCAGAAGATCTTAAATTCCACTAGGGCTCAGTATGTATTTAACACTGGGGACAGAACACCATAACACAGTCGCACCTTGAAAAGGCGGAAAAGCCTCTATGTCATGTCCCTTAAGAAAATGCTTTTACAATTTCAATATGTGAATACCTTTTTATTTTCCTCCCCGCCCACACCCTCCTCCTTTCTCCCTCCTTCCACCCCCGCCTTTCCTACTGCTGATCGCCATCGTTCTCTGTCGCACGATTCTGAAAAGCAAGCAAAAGGACGAAGGAAGGATGGTAGGGGCGGGAAGGCAGGTCGTATTTGTAAGCGAATTTTTCGATGCCATGCTTGACTCTGTTTGTCACAGAGCGCAGACTTGAGTGAGCTCAATTCCCTCCTGGAAGCTGAAACTAGTTGAACTGCTCTTCTAGAATGAAGAGCTTGAAGGAGCAGGGATTTAAAGCGCAAAAGAGATCGTCCCATCGCGATGTCGTGCTGTGAAAGTATATGAAGCAGAAAAATTCGAAAAATAAAAGTAAAATTGAAACAGCGCCTTCACAAAATTTGTTTTCTTCCAAGCAGTGATTGTTGATTGTTGTGGCATCGTAACAGTTAATAATCACTTCTCAGAAGAAAGAAAGAACTCCATGGTAGAAAACTTTCCAGTACTGCTGTTCTCAACTTTTGGCGTGTTTTGGGCGGAAGTAAAGGTGGTGCAGTGGTCAAAGCTGCCGAATGGTGTTACTTATTTCGTGGGTTCGACCCATCCGCATTTATTCCACCTTACGAATTTCCTGGATCGCCAATGACTTGGCTGAACTTATACGAAAGAGGTGATCAGCCGAGCCATCTAACATTCGAACCTAAAGTCCTACATCCACCAACCATTACCGACTGCTGTGACTGTTGGCCCAGGTTTTAATAAGTAAACCGGTTGAGCCGGTACCTGATTATGAAAAAGTGACATGATGAGAAACTTGGGTTGGGGATTCTGATCGATCGATCGGTTTTCTTTTGAAGATATCGATTTTCAGTCAGTAAACCCGAAACTTGGGGCGTTAGATGTTGGAATTACACCAAACCCTCTGCTACTCGCTGATTTTGTATTCCTAGCAGGTTAAGGTCAAAACTGAAGGCAACGATTTATTCCATTATTTCAGTTCTGCAAGGGACCAGTACATTTTTTGTTCTTAAAATTACCCTCAAAAAAGTTTTGTCACCCAGTTCTAACGGAGGGGTAGACGTCAAAAACTAGAAATAAGGAGGCGTGCTCTAGTGTTGCGGAAGGCCCTGGAAAACTCCTTCAACTTAGAAAAAAAAGTCTTGGAGTCCCCTTTTCTAGGTGAGCGATCCATCTATCATGTATAGCTTAGTTTTCTTTACCATTCGGATCTGAGAGGTACTTAAGAAAAGTCTTGATTATCGTTGTTGATATTCCTCGTCCGCTGTAGTGCCTCGATGTGCAGGGTTTTTGAAGGCACAGTTCACGATAATTTTGAGGTACCCGTTTTATATGAAAAGCGGAAGTATTGATTGGGAATAGTTCATCGGTAGTGAAGAAAGCGAGAGAATTCGCCGATTTCGAGAAAAATAATGCGCCTTAGAAGTAGGGAAAATCGAGGTTGCACGAATTTACCATGACGAAATAAACATGGAAGGGATATTTGGACGACATTTAAATCGTCGCAGTTGCGCAAAGAGCTGACTATGTCATGCCAAAACTGCCAATAATTGCCTCTCACTGTCGCTATGGGTCATGACGAGTTGTTTGAACTTCCTACATGGGTTCCCATATGATCGGTGCAGGCTTTACAATGCCGGTGAAACTAGCGAGGATATACACGGGCCAATCTTTGAGCCTTTACAATTCCCTAACTAACCCGTTTTCCGACCCAATAGTGCCAGAATTGGTATACGCCGTGGCCTCAAATTCATCCTGTGGGAGGATCTCAGAAACCATTGTTAGTGAACAGTGCTTTTAATAAGTGTACTTTCTAGGCATAGCCAACGCAATTATTAACAACTTGTACATCTAACAGTATTAAAATTCCATTTCGAAAAATGTAGGAAATTCCCGATTGAAGCTATGAATCTTTATGTTCCACTCCATTAACCGTGAAATCCTCGGCGTAATCTCTTTCAGTATGTGGGAAGAATTCAATTTCCTTTCTAATTTTGAAAAACCTTAAATTAGTTCGGAGTACATGATTGCTTTATTCACAGGAACTGTAGAAATTGCCAACTATCGAGGGACGAGAGAAGGGGTTGCTGAAAAACGAACACAGGAATGGGATTGCTATGAAATCGACAATGTGAAATCGAACTCCAGGAACTCAGAGCTCGGAAAAAAGTCGAAATAGAACCGTTCTTTGAGGCATCCCAGATATCCCCTCGAATAACAAAGTAAAAGTGTCGGAAAGGTGCAGACATGCTGAGAGATGATCCCAAACCAGGTTATCAACCACCACTAATAAGAAGATACTTTTATGTTGCCAGCATATGTCTTTCTTCCAGTAATCTGAGGGATTTGGAAGATGTTGCCGATAAAGGGGCGTGAGTAGAATAAGGGCGTGGCTTGTGATTAGATGCCAAGGGTGAATTGAACTAAATTTAGAGCCCTGATTGGTGGTCAAGCGCGACGGTAGACGTTCAGCAGGGGTAGAGACAAATCATGGATGAAATGTCGTGGTTCGAATACACCAATCCGTTCCTAGAAACCTGATTGTGCTAGGAATGCAGTACCTCACGAACAGGAACTAAGTGAATGCCAGATGCAATTTGTGGACGAATATGTTCATGGTGAAGAGAACGAGTATCGAAACGACTCCTGTCAACTCCTTTAACTACTCATGGAAACGTTGATGTTATAAGCCGTTTGAAAAATACGATAATTGCCGAAAATTTACGGTAATTGGCGAAAATTTCGCATAGGTCCAGATTTTTCTGGGATGTTTTGAAAGTTCGCATGAAGCTGCCATATTGGGAACTACCCACGTGGTGTATAACACATACAGCTTCCTCTTCCTTGTTTATTTGATGGCCTGTATTGGCCAAACTGCTTGCAATATTCTACTTCTAAACCTAAACCTAAACCGGTCACTTCGTTGCTGAAACCTAATGAAGTTTGTGTGGTGTAATCAGCTTGGAACCCCCTTCAAAATGGTCCTGCTCAATACTCGATCTAAAGCTCCAAAGCTGGATACGAGGTACTTGAGGATGATCCTCGATCTGGTCAGTCAACTGCGTTATCACGGAATTTTCAAATATGATATATGTGTAAAAGGGAGATTAGAGGGATTTTAACGTCCCGTGAATGTGTAGTACACTAACCCCCTAGTACGAAACCACCCACTCCTTTGGATTCCACCCGGAGATCTTTCTTTTGCTTTGTATACTGACGGGTGTTTGCAGGCGCTTCAGCATGTGTTTAGATTACTGTGTCACACATTCAAGGGACGATTAAATCCGTCTCGTGGAGAGAGTAGCCCCTTCTTCTATGAAGGCTTCCCGAACGCTTCAGGAGGCTGGAGTTTTCCGGAAATTTCGACCGATTTTACGTGAATAACAAATATTTATCAACACTTATAGTCGATGGTCGAAGGCCAGCAGCAGAATGTGCACTGTGTGATGTTCAGTTTGTTTTTTTTTCACATACCTCTTTCATTTTGTTTAGATTTATGTTCTTCCTTACGTGTTGCCAAGTCCTTACAGTGCATGATTCCTCTCTCTGTTGTCGAAGAGCGTCCACTAGACGTATAATAAATAAATAAATAAACAAACAAATAAATAAATAAATAAATAAGAATGTGTGTAGGTGTTGTAATCGATACAAAACAACTCCAAATAAAACTTGGCTCATTTATTGACAGATTCAATTGTACAGTGACCGTAATTGTATATGTTTTCATTAACGCAATGTATCAAATGAGCATGGAAATCAACTGATCTTAACTAAGGTACACAAAAGTAAGGATCTAATCCTGCTGGATTCTTTCCACCACCTTTCGGAGGAGGCGGTGGAGGTGGAGGCGGTGGGGGTGGCGGAGGCCCACCAGGTTGACCACCACCTGGAGGAGGAGGAGGAGGTGGTGGCGGTGGTGGTGGAGGAAAGGCTGGTTGTTGAGGCGCTCCTGGAGGTCGTCCACCAGGAGGCGGAGGAGTGCCAGGTTGTTTTACTGGAGTACGTGCCACTGGTGTAGCTTTTCCTTTTCTGGGTGTTCTTGCTACTACTACACCCCAGTTGCTAACGATTTCATTGATGGTTTCATTGTCGTCTTGAGGACGAAATTCTGAAAAATGTTCTCTTAGGTATGGGCACTGATCAGAAAATGTGAAGATGCACTCACTTTGTTTTTTCTTATCACCGCGAGCAGATGATCGCTTTCTAGAGCTGTCCGATCCACTGCTACTGGATGACTGAAAACATGCTGTCTTCTGGGAGGAATCTCAGTGATGACTCTCTGATAAGGGTTTCAGATGGCACATCTTGCCACTATATCGGATCTAGGCCAGCTGCTATCACCCAAGAGCTATAGGCTGGAGCTGCAGGGGTGTGGAGGATTTCAGCTGGACCCGAGGGTTTCCATTACTCAATCTAACTCAATCGATACAGGTAGGCACATCTCAATAAGAGATTAAGATTCCCTAGAAATCGAGTAGAATCGGAATTCCCAAGGAAGAATCTCGAAATTTCTATCCCGTAACCGCGTATCAAATGTGTATCGATTGGAGAAGTAATGGGTAGGGGCATTCCATTTTTCAGTTATTCATTGTATGTCAGTAAACAACATAACCAGTGATGCACTTGCCAATTCATCAGTTTCAGAGCGACTTGATTGACATGCCCTTCCTAAAACATGTGTCTTTAGGTGGGTACAGGTTCTGGGTCCTTCCTTGCTCACTTACCACTTGTTACCACGAAACAAAAAGGTATGGTAATAGTAATCGCAACAAGTTTAGCTAGTGCCAATGCTAAGGCAAGTTGAATCATTTTAGGCTGAAAAAGAAATTTTTAACTCACAAAGTTTCATTCACTTCTTCCAAAAGAGATTTCAATTGTACTGCTGTCACCTTTGGCGAGAGAAACCCCTAGAAACCTGAAGGTGGAGCACTACTCTCATGGAAAATGAGGAGGGACGATGCCGGAACGGTAAGTGGGTACAGTAAGGTACCGTACGGCACTATGGCTTGCTGTCTTTTACGTTTTCTGGGAAGGATGAACAGAGCTTATGTAGGGGTCAAGTGCTAGGAAATCCTGGAGCACAAGTAAAGGCCTCATTCCCCCGCACGAGTGTGATAGTAATTGTTAAAGCCGTAGTTTGCAATTTCATGGGAGCTCACACAGTTATGAAGCGATAGGCGCTGAAGGTGCCTTTTTCAAGGAGAAGGAGGAGCATCAAACGTGGATTCAGGTGTTCTGAAAACTGAACAAGTGAGGAGAAGTCGGACTTACTTAACAACTGATTCGGTGAGTACAGTTTTAATTGAATGAACCTCACCACTACACATTTCTGACCGCGTTTGAGGGGTTGTAATCAAAATGGTTCTTGGGGAAATCGTTCTCTGAAAAACATTTGCATCAGGAAATCGTGCCAAACCCACTACTCAAAAGAGCATTTCATCTTCACCTATAAACAGGCCCATACTGACAGTCTATGTAGAAAACTTGCTTTTTTTCAATACGATTTAACCCAATAGAGAAAGTAGAGCATTAACTTACGACTTTTGCTGCGGTTGCTGGTATGTTCCTATCAATATTCCTCTTTTCCAAGTAAAGCGGTCATAGCCGCTCCCTATACAGTGGCAGTCCAACGATTGCTAATAATTTCCGAAAATTTTCTAGAACGCCCATTTTTCGCACACTCTTCAACAACTACTGCTATTTTTCCATTACTACAGGAACTTTTTTTGCTTTTCAAGATCTTACTAGGTCAGTACTTGGTAGCATAAGACCAAGTACTGACCTAGTAGTATACATAGCCTTTGAATTCCATTACAGCCTGACAACGCCGCATAGATTTCACGAGTTATGAGAGTGAGCCAAGACGAAGGCTATTCCAAGCTTCAACAAGCTGCTCGTACTCATCAGCACTATAGAAAACACTGCCCACTATTGTATACAAAAACTAAAAATTGATTTGGCAAGCTTTTGAAGGAATGTCAGGAACAGAAACCCATAAAATCTGGCTCGGTACCGTATGTCATAGAAATAAAAATTCAGTATCTTGATTACGATTTCCACGAAACAGTCTATTACTGTCAGTACTCTATGGAAATCGCAACTGATACGCTAAATAGCCATTTATTTTCGCATTAGAGTGCGGTTTATTTCTAGCCCGAGTACTGTGGGAGACATTACTCCTTTCACATTGACGGCCCATCCTTTTTCATGCCTCGCTTTCAGCAGCGATTCAACGGTGCGCATCGGCCAACGCTCACTGCTCGTCGTCGTAGTCGTTTTGACGTACTGAATAATTAATGACGTAATCATCCAGTTTGGCCTCATTTTTCATATAAATTGCCCTCATGCACTGCGATCGCCACTATCCACTTTATATGCATAATTTTTGCCATCATCTACTACCACCTACGTAGTGCTAGTGACTTTTTCCACTTCCGACTTACGAGATCTAAAAAAGTTTTTTCTACGAAAAAATCTAGAACTGAGATGCAATATTTTTCGAATAATATTGTGATGATTCAACCTATCAATATTAATGAATGTCAATAAATATCTTACTATGAATGTGCTTTAAAGGCGAACTAGTACTGACTGCATTCAACAGTTTCCCCACTTAGGAGTGCTCAGGTTTGGATGGAGCCTAAATATGAATATAAGTATGTGACGACTCACTTGCAGAGACGTAGGGTTTTTCTACTGGCCAATTTGAGAAAGAATCATATGAAGGAAATTGTTGTTGATTTTCTGTCTTGAAGCCTGTGACCTTCAGTGTTATCACCCTTGGATGATGTGAGAGGGCAGGAGTATTTAGCTTCCATTCTGAATTAAAAGGTCAAGCATAATAGAAAAATTCCCTTAGATTCTCAAGGTCACTGAGGAACCTACCTTAACTTTACTGTGTGAGCTAATGAGCTATTCGATGATACCTCTCAACAGGTCTACTTCGGCTGGTTCATCTGCACCATACCCCAGTTTTGAGATTGAATCCTGGAACGTTACCGCGGCTTTGACCGAATTTGGGCTGAAAGTCGAATACATAGAAATGAGGTGGAGAGATTCCAAAGTAAATGAGATCAATACCGAGTGAAAGGATGAAAAGAACTAATTTATCGGCAAGCAATTTTGTTTTGGGATGCGTCCACGTATGTGACTCCTGGTCAGACTCGAAATACTGTTTGAATGTACAAATATGTACATATGTGGCCTATACTGAACAGCATACAACTCACTCGAATCCTTTCCAAACCAGTGTGTTCGCCCTCCAACAAGTGTCCGTTCCAATTAACCAACCAAGGAATAGGTGGCTCCTTTGGATATTGCTCCAGGATCCAATTTTTTGGCATGGAATGTGGTAGGTTGCAGAAGGTCTTTTCGGTGTTACTTCATCTGCTTCTGTCAAAGCGACATTTTATTTACTTCTATTGAATTTACTTCAATTACTTATCACTAAACAGTTTGGTTGACCTACTTTACAGTTTCTGTTTTTCTTAATGATCCTAGTTCTGACTTCTGTCCTCTCCCTGAGATGGCCTTGAATCTTTTGTGGACGAAATTTTCGCGTCCATGCTCGACCTAGGCCGAACAATGTTTGCCAATGTTTTACATGGATATTCGATACAGTGATTGTGGAATTTTTGCGCAACGAATTGCTCTCGTGTTTCGTCGTCAACACACTTTCTCTCTGTCATACAACACCTATACAAACCTGTCTTTCAGATAATAAGGTAGACTTTTGGCATCACCCAGGTAAAACGACAGGTAAAATTCCCAAGCATGGACGATTTTTCACCGTTCTGCTTTTGCAGTACCATCCAACATGCTCCGACTTCAAGGTAACCAGAAATGAAACCATATTCGAAGGATTTTTGAGTCAAGCCATCATTACGAGCGAGCCCTCCCTCGACCTCCAACTTACACTTAATAAGCAAGCCAGTCGGCCGACAGCTGATCTGCAAGTAGTTGTTGGAGTGAGGATCAGGAGTCTTCCGCATCAGTTACTTAAACTTACCGATTCCCTCAGCAATTGTGAGTAGTAGAGAGCTGTTTTACGTAGGAAGTCCTCCGCCAGAATCGTACATAATTTCCTAGAGTCCGCGGTAGTTTTAAAGTAAAGTTTTCAGCTGTACTACATACATTAGGAGTAAGAAGCATTAATCGTAACGAGGGATGGGGGGATGGCCATACCAATTATCAGATCCCTGAATCCGAGATCCAGTCCCCGAACAAGTGTGGCATAGTGCCTCACATCACATCCACCTCCAAGTGAATTATGAGCGACGTATATTTTCCTAAACTGGCATAATTTAACTAGATAGTGAAATGAACAACAAAGCTACATAATCCCTAATATGACCACAAAGTGAAAGCTTGAATGATTCAAAATGGTCTAATTTAGTTGAAATATTCTAGAACATTCTCGAATTCTTGAGAGGATGAAGGAAAATTGCTCATAAGGAAATGGAAATCATATATACTCGCGGGAAATGAAAATGTCGCTCTAGCTTGGTACTTTCTGAGAGTAGTGTAGATAACAATATTGCTGATATTGCAATCATTTTTGTCTTACAAATTTAGCATTATTGCTCAAATGGTCTGGAAAACGTGATAGTGAGACCTTACTACTCTGTTTTTTCTACAGCAAAAGATCTGCGAATGCTCTATACTCTACAAATTCTATACTACCCACTTCTTTACTTTTTATGTAAGAGTAGAAGAGTGAAATATATCAGCAAGTTGTTAATCCAATGAAGAAAGTCCTTTCCAATTCGATATTTTCCTTCAAAAGCTATCTACAGATATACTGCTAAATAACTACTTCAGAAGTTTCCTCGTGGATAATAGCTCCTTGTCAGGATGAGGACTTCATACGAATCTGGAGGCAACGACGTCCCAGAGACTGTTTGGTGGGAGGCAAGCGGTATTCAACGGTAAATTTGAAGATTGTCGCTCCTTCGAAGCTCGACATTTCAATTCAAAAGCCATTCATGGCTGATGAATGTCTGTCAGTTTGGGTCGCATGACCGTAATCGAATAGCCTGACTGACACATTCCACCACGCCTTGTGCTGCTGCTGCTCCTATGCAAATGTCCCGTTGACGGATGCTCTATTGTGACCGTCTAATAGTGAAGAATGATTCTTTAGTTTTCAGACCATGACAAACCCATACCGTGTTGGCAGTGCAATGAATAACCTCGGGGTGGAGGTCGGACTGTTTCATCGTGCCGACACAATGGCCACTTTGTTACGTCACGCCTACGCATTCTGCACTAAGAAAAAGGATTAGAAGGGAGGAATGTGTCAACCAAACAGTTTGTTACAGTTTTCACTTCGCAGCTGCTTCCGATCAAACGATAACTGAGTAACTGAAAGGGCCTGAAGTCTAGATAAATGCATAAGTCCAAAGTACTTCGATTGGCGGACTTTGGAAGGCTCTGGCTGTCCGAACCCACGTGGGTCCACTTAGATGAGTGAGAAAAATAGGGGAATTTTCAACTCTACTCTGTTCAGTTTACTCTTGAAGTCAGGTACTTCTTCGAGCAGTACGGCTTCAGGAAGCAGTGCCATTTTCAACCTGGAATTCTTTCATATCTAGGAGCTTTAAGAAGACGCTCATGTTCAAGTCACAGCTATTACCTCCCCACAGAATCTAATTTCGTATTTTTGAGAGTCAGGAGGTCCCAGTAGCTTGGACGGGTATGATACCAGTATGAAGAAGCCACTTGACTCTCCCACACGTTCTCCCAAAAAACATATGTCTAGGCAGACGCAGTAAGTCCAATTAGTCCTCTCGATTTTTGTAATTTATTCCTCCTCACCCCAATGTGGACGAAGATTAATATGCAAATAGTTACTTACTATTAGCGCTCTGGTGACATGTCAAGTAGGTAATATCCCGAAATGAAGCTAATCCCTTCGTCCGGGAAGCACCTGCCCACATGATATGCAAATTTGTTACTGTACACATACAGATGGATGAAATCGAGTATGATTCTTCTCCTTATCCCCACGTTTAGGGTGTGAAGTGTTTCTCACCTCGTAAAGAGAGACTAGTAGAGATTCTCTTGAGAAAATAGCCATCGGCGAGAAGTGGACAGTGAGAGATTGACCTAGAGTACAATAGCAGAAGAATGTCATGCTGATTCGAGTAAATTGGCACCTGAGTGAGTGCACCTGAGTAGATGGGTAAAACTACTCTGGCGAAGGTATTGACGGCTATGGGAAATGCCACAGGGAAAGTGCGAATGGTTTCAACAGCTTTTGTTTTACCTTGAACTGAACGCAGCCAGTGTGCCTTCTTTCCTAGAGCTCCTCATTTTTTCCGAGTAAATCAAATATTCTTAAGGGTATAAGCATAAGCTAGGATTACGATACCTCGAGGGACTTCGATCGAGGTCTTGCCTGTAGAACGAAAGGCAGTAGAGTTGGTAGGCAGTAAAGATGATAGGCATTTTTACGGGTAATTAAAAAAACTGATTTCCTTCCCTTAACGGAGTCTCCTAAAATGGAAATTCCTCAAAAGCTCCATCGCAAACATCTTCCTAGAGATTTTGCTTCGAATTTTACTTAGCACAGCTTAAATTTATGGAACTNTATAAGCATAAGCTAGGATTACGATACCTTGAGGGACTTCGATCGAGGTCTTGCCTGTAAAACGAAAGGCAGTAGAGTTGGTAGGCAGTAAAGATGATAGGCATTTTTACGGGTAATTAAAAAAATTGATTTCCTTCCCTTGACGGAGTCTCCTAGAATGGAAATTCCTCAAAAGCTCTATCGCAAACATCATTCCTAGAAATTTTGCTTTGAATTTTACTTAGCACAGCTTAAATTTGTGGAACTACTACTGCTTAGAATGGTACAAATAGTACTTGTTCACCTTGGGTGAGTGATAACGAGGACCTCTGTGTAATCGTAGCTTTATCACCCTGAAAAGGAGAAGCTATTCCAAATTTCGTCCTTTTTCTCTGGAAAGCCTTCCAAAATAACAGCCGCACTGTCCTCTAGAACGGAAAATCCAATTTCCAATATATGGCTGTAGAAATGTAATTTCGACTGACGTCAAGTATTTTCAGTGGGATTTCCAGAGCCCTTCCTTCGGCTGGGAACAGACGAAATTCTTCTCATAGCTTTTTCTGAGGCAGTCGGAAATTTCCCCAATCTCCCGAAATTGCTTTCTCCACTAACCCTCTAGCCCAGCAGTAGATTTCGGTAGGCATAATCGAATCCGTGTTAGTAATGTGGCTTTTGTGACAATGCTTTTTTCAATGGTCTCGCTAGGTTTTCCTTTCTCTGATGCCAACGGCTGAAGTAGCTTGCAAGCGAATTTTCATTGAGCAAAGTAGACATGAAGAAGCTTAGCGTGATATCTGATTTATGGGTGAGATCAAGTACATCACCATAGCAACGGCAACTCTGGCCTTATGTTTCATGAATATTTTTTCCGTATTATTAGTCTGTCATATGAATATTTACTGAGTCGAAAAATTGCGGACCATTTCCACTGTCATGAAAAGTCTTAGGGAATATGCTAAAATAGCGTGGAAAAATCTCGAAACTTCCCTCCCGATTGTATTTTGAGGAATAAAGTCACTGATTCGTTTCGAAGAAAATCAAATAAAAGTTGTGTTCTTGTAATTTTTCTTCAACTTATGTCCTACTGAACAAATTAGGGGGTGATATATCAAGAGATTAACAAGAATTATGCTCTAAAACCATAATTTTCAGATAAATATTGAGCCTATCAGTTATGGCCTTTTGGTCCTTTTTTGAAGCTTCAATTTCAGAGGATCTTTACTGAAATCCTAAAAGTTTACTCCTTCTCTTCCACAGTTTGGCGAGTTATGGTCAAAGCATCGCCTCCGTACTCGTACTGAGATGGATCATTTTAATTATTAACGTTTGAAGATCGTATAAGTAAGGGGAAAGAGTCAGAGATGTATCTCAGCTCCCGTTTCGCACATGCCCTTGACGGAAGCTAAAATTGTCAATATCTTACTGAAATTTTTCTAGTGAATAGGTAAAAAAACACTGATAAATAAATAAAATGTGTATAAATAGCAATACGCCGAAAAATTTGGAGCGTGTGTAGGAATCAGCCAGAAAAAGGAAAACTCAAGAAACCCTGAGCATTGTGTGAAAATATCAGGACGTTATTGCTGCACTATTACATACATGTCCTGGTAATTACTCTGAAAGTAATTATACCGGCCCAAACTCCCTGGTGTCAAAAGTATGTAGCGCGCTGCGATGGTGTCATTGTTACCTAGTCGTATATATGATCCAGTTACACTAGACAATAGAATCCATATGTAAATATTCGATCAGCACAATCATATTACATCATGGCGAGCTGCAGAAAAACAAAAATAACATCGTTTGTTCGAGCGGAAAATAAAAAAAAATGCAAAGGTGCTCAAGGTAACTGAAGCGGAATGATGTGAAATTAGAACCAGCCACCAGGCCCACGTCTATCTTACCTCGATTCCAAGCTAAATGAAGATGACTGGATGAATACGGGCTCAGAAATGCCTTCATAAAGTGCGAGCTTAGGTAGAGACCTCCTTTTTATGAATGTACTTTCCCAACTCGTATGATCAGATTTTTTAGATCGATATGCCCAGATTTCTCAGATCCGATTAGTTGTGGTGATCTTTTGAAGGACTGTGACACCATAGAAAGCTGTACAGTGTG